ATTGAAACCTCAATATCATTTGGTTTATTGACTGACATGTAGACATCAAATATTTGCCAGACTGACTTCAGACCTGAGCTTCTGTTCATTCATGTTGAGGTTAAATACTGGTATCCATTAGCAACCAATAACAGGTATGAATTGAACCTGGGGCTGATTTGGTTATGCCTTTGCAAGCAGGCTATAGATTACTTTGTGTGTTTCTTGTGAATGGTCTGTCATGTGTAACCTTCATATACATCACCTCTGAGCTGGCCAGAGGCCTAGGATAATAGCTACCACAAACTCAGCACTCAAAACATGTCTGTATTCTCCTAGTTTTCATGGGTCTAAAGTACAAACAAGATAAGCTGGGTTTTTCTGGGTTTTCATCAAGGTGTGAATCCTGGTCTAGCTGAGCCTATGGTCCCATCCAAGGCTCATATCCTTGCCACAGTTCACTGGTGGTTGGCAGAAGGCTGTTCTCTATGGTTGTTAGACTGTGACCTCAGCTCCCAGAGGCTACCTGCCACTTTCTGTCATGTGGTTCTCTCTATATCACGGCAATTTCCTTCTTCAAGGGGGGCCTTTGCTGCTGCTCTGATGTTCTCTGGCCTCTGGGTTCTCTTATAAAGTGCTTACCTGATTGGCCATATGTATTCAAATTGATCTCTCTCTCTCTTTTTTTTTAAAGACTTTATTCATTTATTTGACAGAGATCACAAGTAGGCAGAGAGGCAGGCAGAGAGAGAGAGAGAGAGGGAGGAGGAAGCAGGCTCCCCACTGAGAAGAGAGAGCCCAATGCGGGACTTGATCCAGGACCCTGGGACCATGACCTGAGCTGAAGGCAGAGGCCTTAACCCACTGAGCCACCCAGGTGCCCCAGGATTGATTTCTCTTTTATTTAACTTAAAGTTAACGGATCGGAGACCTAAATGACAACTGTAAATCTCTTCCCCTTTGCCATGTGTTCAGAGGTCTTACCCATCCCCAAAGGGTTGAGTTATAGAGGGTGTGTACACGAGGGGCAGGAATCTCAGGGGCCAACTTACAGTAAGTGTGACATCCCACATTCCATTGAAGAGAGGCAAAACTCTTGTACTCAGCTGTAAAATGTGCACAGTAATACCTTCACCCATGCATTATATCATGAGGATTAAGTGACATAAAACATGCATTCATCAAAGTACCTAGCAACATGGTCAGGCTCAGAGCGACTTATTAAAAAGAGCAACACTGAACCTACCAGAGACTTAGTATTGCTTCATATTCCTGCTGCACTAGAACGTAATATATTTTAAGGCCACAATGTTTCCCTCCCTTCTGCTCTTCTTCCAAGGGCTACCCAAGTAGATGGATGCCTGCACGGGGGTTGAAAAGGTGCCAGGCATTCCTGCAGACTCAAATAGCATTCCACTCTGTATTGTTGGGGGTAAAATTTAAGAATGTAAGATTTGGTGGGGCACCTGGGTGGCTCAGTTGGTTAAGGATCTGCCTTAGGCTCAGGTCATGATCCCAGAGTCCTGGAATTGAGTCCCACATCGAGTTCCCCGCTTAGCAGGGAAGCTTAGCAGGGAGCCTGCTTTTCCCTCTCCCCCTGTCCTCCCCCTGGATCTGGCTCATGCTCTGTCTTTCAAATAAATAAATAAAATCTTTAAAAAAAAAGAAAAAACGTAAGATTTGGGGGTTGAAGAGGTCACCCAGACATCATATTCCAAATATATCACAACCAGTAAGACACAAGAAATTTCCAATAAGGGCCAGATTGATATCTGAGGCTGGAACTAAAGACTCCTTGTGGGGGAACTCTTCATTTAAAGGATGATGATGAGTTTCCATGATCTAAGGTGGGGCCTAGGGGTTTTGAGCAATTTATTTACCAAAAGGTATAGAGATGTTTGGATATTTTATCAGTCGGTATGCAACATGTGTATACTGGCTATAGACTGGCCCTATTTGTAGTTTAAGAATATTTACCTCCCAGGAGATTTCCCAGGAGGAATAACCTGTCAAATCCTCCTCAGGCCTAGCGATTAAGTGATCAGACTGTAGGGGAAAGTCTGTCTTATGCAAATACCTTGATATGGTCCAGGTCCTTGTGGTGGAGAAGAGAGAAAAGAGTTTCAGAGAATAAAAGGGGGCTGTTCGGAGTCCAGCCAGCTCTCCTCCCCTGGGCCTTGTTCTGTCTCCAGGAATACCTCTAACATCTGTTACATGCATCAGCTACATCACCGCAGAGCCCTGGTACCGCTCTTGCATACACGAGACCACGGGAAACTGGCTTTATTAATTAGAGTGCTAGGCCAATGGAACTATTTGCTTCCATTCATAATTCATCGACATCCTTGCTAAATAAATATTGGGGTATTCACTCATCCCAACCAATTATCTAAGAGAAGCTACATCCATCACAAGGGTTCACAAACTCAGAGACTAGAATATAAAAAATTCTAATTAACAGAAGCCTACTTTTAACGGCTCATGTACCCATTCTTATCCATATGCATTCAACACTTCCCAGTACCACAAATGAGGTGCCAGCCGGGATGACACATTAGAACACAGCAGCGGGCCCTCTCTGGTGGAGCACGGCTGTTACGGTGGCACATTCAAAGGCTCATGTCACCTGTGAACAAGGAATGATGGAGGTTCTGGTTGTCCCTCCCTGAAGCATCTTCATGCCTCCTTTTAACCAGGATTGGAGCAGAGTAAGCCCAGGACCCCAGCAGTGTGTCTGTGTCATAGATGGATACAAGGGTTCCACGATCCACTCCCACTACTTGGACACCCAAACAGCCACGCTAGCCCAATTTCACCATTCAGTGAAAGTCAGGCAAGGTTGAAAATCAGGCCCCACACCCATTCCAGGGTATCAGACCTCAGAGGGTTTCCACAGGAGATTCCTGCCTCCTCCCAGCCCTGAGAGCCTTGATGGCTATCACACCCTTCTCCCTTCTTTGTGCTTTGAATGGCATATCATTAGGGCTTCCTCTAGGGCTTGAGTCAGCCCCTAAGTTACATAAATGGTTCATGGAAACAGGCAGTTTCTTGCTCCATTTTCCCTCTCACAGGGTTAGGGCAGCTTTCTCACGTGAGGTCGCCGCCTGTCTGAGCATTATACCAATATCCTCCTGTTGATTTGATGTAGAGGCTTGGGCAGCCTTCCAAATGGGTTCTTTGCACCATCACTTCCCTGCTTCTATCCCTATGAAAATGACCTTCCTAATATTATCTTCAAAAATATCATTGAGTCCTGTAGAGGATTATGCACAAATATCTCTGCCATGGACAGTCCTGGAAATTGTTTTAAAAAACCTAGCTTCCCACCTACCTATTGCCATCTCTGGCTCAGGTGTTTCTTTACAGATTGATGCCACATACACAACGGAGTCCTGAAGTTCCAGAAGATATATTGGTGATGGGGAAGATGATGAGGAAGATGATGAATTAAACATTCCATTTTCTTAAAAATAGAATAAAATATCAACACACAAGCTTGTTTTTAACACTTCACAGGATCCTACAAAACTAACAGTGAGCTATCATCCATTTCCTGGTTTGAACAAAGTGGCCTCTGGGCCTCTGTGGCCCAGTCTTTGAGAGGCATGGGATGATAGCTGCTTTAGAAGCTTGTGAAAATAAATATTGATAAAGATTATTTGAAAAGGCAGCACCGTTCTAATGAACTTGTGTAAAGGGTTTTCAGAATGGAGGCTGACATACAGGTACCAGGTGACTGCCAAGTTTGTGTCTCATTGGCTTCATATTGGAAGGTTCCTTTGTTTGTCTCCCACCTTGAACAGGAATATAATATGGTCTGCCTGCCACCTGCTTGTAGGGATGAATGGAAGAGCGCTGGCTTGGCCCTTGGAAATTTTGTGTAAGGGTCTTTCCAAGTGTTGAGTGGTTTTACGTATTTCATTTGTTTAAAAGAACGTGGAATGGAAACCTCCCTTCTGGGATTCTTTTCAAGAGTTGCACACTGCCGTCGATTGTCAGTCACAATTAACATTAGCGAAGGAATGATTGTTGAATATTTTCTGATGCACTGCATTGTGTGGCCCAGCAGCGTTGCACGTCTAAATGACAAAACAGCAGTTCCCTGTTGTAAACTCAAGTGTGCACTGTTACCCTTCATTCTGAGAGCATCTCTCCCATTCTCAGAAGGTTTTTCTACAGAAAATAACAAATCAAGCCCGTGTGAGGCTTTCTGTCAGTCTTCAGAATTTCAAATAGCATCTTCCAAAGAAAGAAATATAATGTTCATATTAAGAATGGTGTGTTTTTTTTTGAAAAATGTATATTTCTGAGAAAATATGTCTTTCAGATTTCAAAAAGATGGCTTACTGCTTCCGATGAGTCATTGCAAGGTGTCAATTGCCTGCATAGCATGATTCAAAGTAATGTCAGCAAAATAAAATTATTATAATGATAACATCTTGAACTCATACAGCATTCATTCTGAAGACCAGAGAGAGAGAGTCTATAATCACATTTACTTGTAAAGCTTCTGAAAGGGGGATGCTGTATTCTTAAAGACAATAATACAAAGAAATGTTATGTCATGCTAAAGTTGGCACCAAGTTGAAGGTGTATTCGTACTTCCTATCTCCCACAAAATTATTTTTCACCAATAATTGTTTATAAAATACTGGTTTGGAAAAAAGTGACGAGTTTTTCTGGTCTTGTTCTTCTTCCTCTTTCTTTCCTTCCTTCTTTCTTTATCTGCCTTCCAGGAACACTCACTGCAGTTGATTCATTCAATAAAGTATTTGTGGATGCCTACTGCATGCTCCACATGGTTCCACGTCCTGAGATGGAGCAGTAAATCAAAGAGGAAAAATTCTTTGTCTTCTGGTGTCAAGCACCTCGGGATCCACTGGTTTTGGTGCGGACAGAGTCAAGTCCAAGAACCACCCATGCACAACTAGTCATGGAAATGGTACACAAGTGGCATCAAGAAACCCCCATTACAAAGACATGAATCTCTGAAGAGGGTGGACCCCAAGTTCCTGATGAACATGTGTTTTGCCAAGAAGCTCAACAAGAAGGGCCTGAAAGAGATGCAAGCTGACACTGCCAAGGCCATGAGTACATGTGCCAAGGCCATCGGGGCCCTCATCAAGCCCAACGAGATCAACGCAAGGTCCCAAAATGTGGTGCCACAAGCTCGATTGACTTGCCGATGTCATTCACCCCAAGCTCAGGAAAGGTGTTCATGCTCATCTCGCCAAGGGTCTCAGGCTCTGTTGGCCAAAGGCCAAGGCTCAAAACAAAGCCAAGGTTTAGTTGTGGCTCCAGCTCAGGCTCCCAAAGATGTCTACGGCCCCAGGAAGGCTGCAGTGTAGAGACTTCTGTCAGCCAATGTGAGGATGGAAGGACAGGGTCACACCTGAGCTTCTGTCTGCATCCGACTTCTGTCTGCATCCTCCTATGGTATTTGCATAAATAAACCTGAAACCTGAGGCAGAATCTGCTAAAAACGGGGGGGTGGATTCATTTATCTCTGAGCTGGTATTAGAGTTGATATATATATTTATACATATATGTATATATATGTATATATATATATATAGAGAGAGAGAGAAGGAGAGTATTAGATGTTAACAATTGCCCTTGGAGAAAGAATAAGCAAGAAAAGGTATAAGGAGGGCCAAATGTGGGAAAAATTAATAATGTTATAACTTTAAAATAGAGTGTTCACAGGGGAACCTGCTCAGACCATGGAGTCAGGCATGGGGATAAGCACAAGGATGAAGACAGAATGTCTGGCGAGTCTTCACTGTGGAGGGGGCCATGATCAAGGGTGGGAGAGATAAAAGGGACAATGGCTAGAGCACTAATGGATGCATGTGGCAGACACCACAGATTTGCTCCCTGAAGTCCATTTCAACCCCTTTCCCTTCCACCTTCCACTGCTGTAATGGCCGTGAGGGTAAAATCCATACCATTCCAGCCTCTTACAACTGGGGTGGTCACATGGCCTGGTTCTGGCCAGCCAAGCAGAAGTCCGTGAGGAAGTCTTCCCTTTCCAAAGAAGAAGGACACATCTAGTAGGGAACATCCAACCTCTTTCCCCTCCTGCCCTCAGGAATGTTAGTGTGATGCCTGGAAATTCCACAGGGAACTTGTGATCCTGAAAATGAGAAACAGAGGCCCTGGGAGAAGGAAGAGGAGAGATGCCATGTCCCCATAACAAGAGTGCAGCTACCCACCCTGGAGTACAGGTTCTATAGGTCTTTTGTGAGAAGAAAAACAACACTTTATTAGCATAATAATAATAATAACAATAATAATAGTGTTAATTTCAAGGTCTTTCATTAACAATGATGGCCTTAACAAATCAGGGTCTCTTCTACTTTAGTGAAAGCCTGAGCAAGGATCTGAGCAAAAAGATGAGGAAAAGTTCTTTCTCTCAGAGAGAATGGCCTGAAGTCTGGACCCTGGAAATAGCAAAGACTCTTCTAGGTACAGAATGGAGGAGGATGGCAGGCCATGTCTCCCTCCTGTGACCAACGCCATCAGTGTATTGCTCTGACAGGGAAACACTTCTTCTCAGAGGAAGGTGAAATTTACTGAGACCCCAAGAACTTTTGTTTGTGTGAGTTATAACTATGGACATTTGTGATATTAGGCTTTAAAATTTTAATGTATTTATTAATTAATCTTTAAAAATAGCAATAATGAAACCATCATATGTTAAGATAAACAACACCTCTGTATGAAAATAACCATATTTTCCAACATATAAAAAAGTGAGAAGCATGATATTGTTTTGCATTTTGCAAATCTCTTAATGTCTGGCTTAACAGAAGACAGCTGTGTTCTCAGATCTGCCTTTGTATTCAATCTGTTGTAAGCCATTGCTTTGGCTTAGGTCTAGGAGAAAAAAATCTGGCCTTACACCAATCCGAGATGTAAGAAGAAAGGAGTGCTATGGAAGCCTTTTCAGATAATTCTGGGTGTTCTTTGATACTTTGGCAAAACTCAACAAGTGCTTGTTTTGGAAAGGTCAGGTGAAACGTGGAAGCCAAATTCCTGTCATTGAACTTTTCATGTGCTGCTCCTTTAGAAGCCTTCCGTCTGGCTTGCACTTTGGTTGGCTATTTTACTGATGCACAATTTGATAAATTATGCAGCTAACATATGCATATATGATATTTTAAAAATCACATTTGTGACTGTCCTAACTGATCTAATTAGAAAACTCTTCAAGCACTGGAAAACCATTAAGCTCACAATGACAAACACCAGGTGTCCAAAATTCTAATTTTTTGCTCTAAACTCAACATTTGGCAACAAATACGGGCAATTGTTTTTCTTATGATGATGAACTCACTTTATTCATTTTGGAGAAAATGTCTGCCAGATTCTCACATCTGGATAATCAGTCTGCCTGTCAGTTTTTCTTTCAAGTAAAAAATAATATTCCATGAATGAAAGCTGCTAGTTCAGCTCGCAACTCAAGCAATATCGTTACTTTTCCTTCAGACAATCATATCCTTTTGGTGTACACCAGTATTTCGCATATACTTCCCTTTTCATCACACAGAATAATAAAAAGTAGGCAACCAAGGGTCAAGTTATAATAAAAGTAATTTTTTTTTTTTACGGTGCAAGAAAGGATTTATTTAGATGAAATTAGCATTTCTTTGTAAAATTGTATGCCCGTGGTGGTAAAAAAACATATTGACTATTTATATAGCTTGATGCCGCTGCCTTGATTGGTGTTAAGGAATCAGCGGTGCCATTCATCCTTGATTTTATAGCAAGAGAGCAAATGCAAGCACTGTATAAAAGGCAAATAACATTTTAGTATTACTATAAAAGTAGTTCTCTTTGCAGCTTAAAAAGGTCTTGGGGATCTGTGAAGGCCTGCAGCCATGCTTTGAGAACGATTGCTACAAAACTGTGGTTCTCAGATCAGTGTGTATCAGAATCTTGTTGTTAAAATGCGGTTAAAATGCAGATTTCTGGGCTCCACCTCGAGAGTTCCTGACTTGTGGTTCTGGATGAGCTCAAGAATTTGTGTTTCTAACAACTTCCCAGGGTGGTGCTGCTGATCTGGAGACCACAGTTTGAGAACCAGTGCTGTAGAAGGGAAACCCAGTCCTTTAACATACAATTCCTACAATATACATCTCTTACTTGGCAGTTACCATCCACATCTGTGCAATTATAAGCATGTCTTACACCCTTATACCATCTAGCATTGCATTTTGTACAAAATTAACATTATGTCCATAATTTAGGAATAAAAATCACTTGAGTGGCATCATTGCTTGTGAAATGTCTTTTCAGACTGGCAACTTGGAAGAAGATAGGATATTATCAATCTACCATGGGCATGTTATAAGGGTATCTGTTGCACCACTTTTAAAATCAATAAATTATCATAAGCTAAGATCATGTTCAAGAACAATATAGCTTTTTTTTTTTTAACATTTTATTTATTTGACAGAGAGAGAGAGAAAGAGAGCGCCCAAGCAGAGGGAGTGGGAGAGGGAGAAACAGGTTCTCTACTGAGCAGGGAGCCCAATAAGGAGCTCAATCCCAGCACCCTGGGATCATGACCTGAGCTCAAGGCGGAAGCTTAACTGACAGAGCCACCCAAGTGCTCCTCAAGAACAGCACAGCTTTTGCTCCTTGTTTGTTGCAATGTTTCTGGAACCAGAAAGAGGTGCCCACGTGATTATGTGTATCGGATCCATAAAAGCATTGCTTTTGCAGACAGGCTCTTTCAGAGCAGAACGTGGATTTCACTTATGGCCTCAGTTTCCAGTGAAAATGAATGAGCCCTTGATCTTACTGTACCTGTCAAGGAAATCTTACTAGAATAAAGAAGGGCTGCTTATCAAAATTTCAGAACCGGTCTTCAAGGTTACCATGTCTAAATAACTTGAAGGTCACTTGAAGCTTTAAAAAAAAAAAAAAAAAGAAGGTTGATGGATGAGGACCAGTAAGGTAGACAAGTTCTCGTTTCAAGTATCAAAATAACTCAAAACATCCACACTTTAATTACTTTTGTCAAACCACATATTTTAGATTCATTGAGTTCAGGAAAGGATGGTTAAACGTCATGAAAAATTGAAAATGTGTTTTTATTTCTGCAATGATGAAGTGACATTACATTTCTCGGTACTCTGCTGCTAGCTGGTTTTTCAAAATTTATTGGCATGATATCCCAGTCAGCCCCAACGTCAATCAAACTTATTAAATATTTGTTTTCTGCCAAGGAAAAACAACACGAAGGTGAGAAATACTAATAATCAAAGTGCATGAATGAATATTGAAAGAAGCAATTTTTAAGTGTCTGGTATCCAGTGTGTCACTTTTCATTTCACTTATAAACAATATTCCTCAATCTTTAACACATTTTCTTTTCTCATAGATACAATTTTATAGTAGAATAGTATAAATACATTTTTATGTTATTGTGGTTAGGCTTTAAGGCAGTCATTACATGCTTCTGAATTACAGTATAATTCTGTATATATAAAAACTTATATATAGTGTATAAAACTTAACAGTGTGCCATCAAAGAAGGAGGGAAGATGCTGGAAAGAGAAGGTGCTAAATCACATGTTTTGGCTACTGGGTGAATAATTCTCAGGAAGGAATAATGTCCAAGTTCTTAGGACCAATGAAGGTTTTATTTATCTAAAATGATCACCACCAACATTGACTTTCAGAAAGCCACAGAACTGGAATAGGTCATTCTGGCTACTCTAGCCTATTTCCAAACCAAAGGACTAACATACTTTAAATAATCATGACTGTAACACCGCCACATCCCATGTAGAGCTCACGAGTTGGTGGCTGACCAAATTCATTCACCTCCGTAGATGGGGGCGTGTATTGCCTTTCACGTGAAGTTGTGTGCCGAACCATTAACACTCCCTCAGTTTTCCTCAGGAGCATCACTGAGGTTGTGCAAGCTGACACAATCCTGGTTGTCCCTGAAGTGGGCCTTTTACATGGAGATGTAATCAGAATGTGTTGGACCCCTTTGTGCCATTTTGATGCAGCATCACCATGAACTCAGCCGGGTGCGTCTGGGACGCCCACACAGTCTCTATCATCTAAAAGGAGGCTCATTTAGGGATACGTGTGAGACTTCTAATTATGTGAGAAAAACATATTGAAATATCCCTAAACAACTGCTTGATGGCAGTAGCCGTGAACCAGAATGAGTGGACCTAGTTCACCCCAATATCAATCACCCCCCTTCTCCACCGGCTGCTGTTCTGTCTGAGGCTTGAGTGCTTTTGGCAGGATGCTGCATGCAGAGGGCACCAGGTAACTGCTTGTCAGTGTGGGTTTCTTGTATAAGTTTTGTACTTTTGTA